TACTGCTGGATCTGCGAGTCCTGGGGTCACGGGCTCTGTTGGCCGCTTCCCTTTCCTCGTAGTCCATGTAGGCCTTGCCCTTCTCGAGGAGAGCATCGAACGTTCGGGGTGGTTCGATGCCCACTGCTTTCCTGAATTTTATGTCGGGGAGGAGGCCCATCTCCAGGAGGTATCTCTTCATATGGTCCGCGCAAGGGACCTGGATGGCTTTGCGGTTGAAGCAGTTGATGAATTCTCTCAAGGTCTCATCCTGCCTCTGGACGATGGCCTCAAGCGCCGCTTCGGTCTTTGGATGTCGCCGTGACGCAGTGAACGAGCTTATGAATTGGTTTTTCAAGTTTCGCCACGAGGTGATTGACCCTAGGGCGAGACCCTTGTACCAATCCATAGCCGCTTTCCTGAGGGTCGTGGGAAACAACCAGCATTTGATTGGTCCCCCGACGTTATGGTAGTGCAGCATGGCTTTGAACCCGTCTATGTGATCGACCGGGTCGGCGACTCCATCATATTCTTTCAGGTGTGAAGGCTTCTCCATGCCTAGGGGAATGGGCGCCTCCATGATAGCTTGTGATAGGGGACCGCGGGGGTCGTCCTCATCACTTCGTTCGGGGGAGAGGGACGGGGACCTGATGTATTGCCGGTCACGATGGCCCTGGTCGTCCTAGGCGTTCCTCGAGCGATGTGTCCGTTGATATGTTCCTCCGTGTCTGTCTCCGGGATGCCTTCGTTCTTGCCGTAAAGGGCCGTGGTTGCGCCTTCCGGCTTCGATGATTGGTTCTCTCTCTAAGGCGGGTCGCCGCCCTTGTGGTCGGGGCGACGGACTTCGAGAGATGTCGCGGTCCTATCTCCGCGGGGGAGATCGGGGACGTTCCTCCGTTCTTCGAGAAGGTGGGGATTGAGGCCTCCTATGTCTCCTCGGGGGCCTTCTGTCGTCCTCTAGCACTCTCAGTCTTTCCCCTTGGGCAAAGATGAAGTAGTTGGTCTGGTTGATTGCCGCGAACAGTGCCCTGGTCGTGGCGTCTACCCCGGCGGGGACAGGAACCTCATGGAATTGGGCGGCTAGATAGTTGGGGGGAACTGGATTGTCTTCTTCGAGCCAAGGACGAACTGGGGAAGATGAAGTCGTGGCTCCGTCCCGGTAGTTAGAGGGCCCGGGGTTGGCGCCCCCGGGGAGTATATTATGGAGGGGGTTGACGATGTTGTCGGGACCACCGTTTTTGTCGGCGAGGTTGTTGTTAGCTTCGACGACACGGACGTTCTGGTTGTCCTGAATCTGGTCAGCCATGGCGGTCGAGGATGGTTTTAACTTTTGTCTTCGTGAATTTGTAAGACGGGGAAGCTTAGATCCCCACAGTCGGCGCCACTGATCGTACCTGATTAGAGTTAGACCGCCACAGCTGGTTCGGACTAGATTTGAAAGAGATGAGGGGTACCTGCAAGACACTCTGATGATAAAGTAAGAGACAAAATGAGCAGGTGAATTGTATATAGGTGCATAATGAATGAATACCTAACCCTCTGGAAATATAGGGTATTTATAGCCCCCAGCGCTGGGCCAAGGTCCCTTTATTGGACCGACCAAAATCGGCCCAACAAAGGGACTGCCAGGTTCTACGTGAATAGTGGGGACTTGCACGTGGTCCCCTGCCTGGATGATGCTCTGTGAAGAATAAGGAAGAACGAAGACGCGATCTTCCCGGAGCTCTAAGGACTCTGAAACATCCGGAGGGGTTGAGAGTCTGCCATACGGGGAGGATGCTCGAGCAAGGCTCGGGTTGGGATGTCCTTGGTCGGGGACGCCTCTCGTCGCGGGCAACTGCGGGCATATTCGTATTAGTCATACCGCCTGTGACTGGGGATGCTCGGGGGATCTGGTTCCCAGCATAGCACGTGGCACGGTTTGGATTGGGCTTTATTGGTGATTTGGACCATGGGCAGGCCCAGTCCAGAACAATTTTTATTTTTATTTTTTTAAAAATAAAAAACAATTCTAAAATTTTAAAATGTAAAATTTATTTTGGAATGATTTTAAAATGTTTACTTTTTAAAAGTATGATTAAATTTGTCTTTAAAATTAATTGTAATTGTAATTGAAGTTAAAATTTATAATTTTTGAATTTATTTGTGATTTTTATATCAAAATTTATAATTAAATTTATTTTTACATAAATTTATCTTCAACTCACTTCTACATAAATAACTTTTCTTCAACTCTTTTTTATAACTAAAAATCAATTTATTCATATTTAATTCTTTTAATTTTAATTCACTTTCGTTTTTTTAATACATCAATTTCAGATTTCCTATTCTCCTCTTCATTCTTTTTCTTCCTTCTAGTTTTCTTCGCCTTCTTTTTTTACTATTGCTCATTGTTTTCTCATTGAACTATATTCATCGAATGCTTCTCCTTTTTTTTAAGACATGTATTTTTGTGGACATTTCCTTCTATATCTTCACAAAAATTATTTTTTTCTTGAATTTGGAGAGGACAAAATTTTCATTCAGATTTACATCAAAATAGGGTCTTAACAAAGAGACGTGTATTATCATATGTACACATAAAGAAGATGGAAGATCCTCCATGTAAGCTACTTTGCTTACAGAATTGGTGATTTTAAATGGATCAAAAAAATGTTTTGCCAGCTTCTAAGAAACTCTTTTAGTAATTATTTTTTGTTGATATGTTTGCAATTGTAACATAACTAAGTCTCCATACTTAAATACAAAATCAAGTCTCTTTTATTAGCTTGATTTTCCATTTATCGTATGTTTTTTTATAAATTCTCCTTTAACTTTGTTAAAATATCATGATGTTATTATAGAAAAGCATTTAGGGAGTCCACATTAAATGTTTCAACCAAATACTTTAGTATATTAGGGGAGGGATTCACGAGCATACATTACTTTGAATGATGTCATTTGGATATCAGACTGAAAAAAGGTGTTAAGCAGAGCTCAATGAGATGAATGAACTTATACCACAGACGAGGATGATCCCTTACAAACATATAATGTATGTTTCTAGAGATTTGTTAACAACTTATGTCTTTTTATCTGTTTTTAGGTGATAAGAGATGTCATATTTGAGTGTAGTTTCTTGGACATTAAAGAACTCTTTTCATAAAATACTGAGAAACAAAGAGTCACAATCAGAGACTATTGACTTGGGAATATCGTATAGGCAACAAATCTCTACTGAGAAGCGAGATGCAAGGTCCTTAACTTAGAACTTGGTCTACATGGCGATGAAATGTATAAACTTGGTAAGACGATCACAGGGGTTTGATAGGTGTGTGATAAAATTCATGGAAAGTTCTTCTCAAACTTGATTTAGTATTGATAGAGGTTGTATCAACCCTTACTTTTTTGCGTTTGTTATTTTTTATTTTGACACTTGATAAATAGAGAAGTGTTTGACAAAGTTATTTACTTCTAGGTAGAGGACATGCCAAGCAAAAGAAGCTGACAAATATGCAAGGGTAGCCTTAACACCAGAATGGTCTATTGTGAGAGTGTAGTGATACTCATGTAAAGCAGTGTTTCGAAGCCCTTGGATGTTAGGTATAAATGCTCTATTTTTGTATTATATTATTACTTTTGAAAAATTGTACAATGTGTGTTCATTGTCACGGTGTTCCACGTATTCTATCAACTCTTGCCCTACAATGTCCTTTTGAAAACTTGTATAACTTGTGTCCACTGTCATGTTATTCCATATATTCTAACAACTTCAGAACATCAGTGTCCTTTATGTTAGACGGCGACAACGTATCTAGAGGAAAGTGAATAGATACCCCTTTAAATAATCCAAAAAAATCTGGTTTTGAAAAAGTTGTTTTATCAAAGAGATTAGCGGAAGCTTTTTTCAAATGTCGTCTTTACGAACGTTATTGAAAACTCAAATATGCAAACGCAAAAACAAATTCAATATGGAATAAAAATAACAAATGGAATTAATATGTTTGAATCACTTTACAACTTATTTAACGTTTATTGCAAGTTGCTAGTAAATCTATTTCCAATGGTAATATTAAAAAGAACCAACTAAATCAATTTATCAAACACTTTGTGTGCAAGTGAATTTTTAGAATTTTTCCTTAAGTTGTGTTGATACACAAAACCACATATAATCAAAAGTGATTATAAGTTATATCAACACTTGATTTAGAATCAAATGCAGTCCGGAAAATTTCTTACAATTCAATTGATAACGTAATGTTATTTGACAAATTGATCAATGAATATCAAAGCAAGTAAAAACAAAAATAAAATAGACACGAAAAATTTGTCTTCACAGTTCTCCACTTTCGTCCTCGCGGGTGGATATGTCTTCACCTAATCCCAATGGAATTAGGATAATTTTTACTATGTAAAAAATTGATATAAGAGAAGTGTTCAAGAGCAATTTCATAAACCCTAATGCGTGTTTTTGTATTTTTAATATACTTCCTTAAAAAAAATTAAAACAAATTTAAAGTAAAAGTAATAATTAATTAATTATGTATAAAAAAGAATTTGGTGGTGAGAATCTAGAATGAAGAACCCAAAACACAAAAGCTCAAGTCATCAAAACAATTGACTATAAACATTACTCACTAATAATAATATAAATAAATTAAAATAAAAAAATAAAGGAAAATATATAGAAGAAAAAAAATGAAATAGGAGGGACGTCCCACCCACCCATTAATGGCTACTGATGGTTAATTTTTCATAGAAAAAGTAATAACATTAGTAAATATAAAAGTAATGAGATTTATTTGAATTTTCAATCTTAACCATCAACCAATAAAATCATGACAAGTGGCAATGAATAAAAATAAAATAAATAAATAGTGCAGAGGATCAACTTGAAACATGGGGTGTCTCTCATTTTAAACAAAATTAGCTATAAAATTCTAACAGTAAAAGAAAATTGTTGACCCATTCAAACATAGCAAATTAATCTTTCTCTAGACTCATCATCTTCTTTCAGTTTCCAACTCCTTCAATCCAAATACTCAAACTCTCTTATCTTTTCAAACACAAACAAGCAATAAACTCATTACAAAAATTCACAAATAAACATAAGAAATAAAAGAGATTGGTGCTTACCTGTGATTCCGGTGGGAAGGAGTGGAGCAACGTGTGGATTTGGTCGGTGTTTGGTTCGCAACAGTGGAATCTGACCGGTGCTTACCTTGTGGTGCTTTAAAATCCGTCGGCTGGAATTGGCCCGCCGAAGAGATCTCGGTGGCGTAATCGAGCTGCTCCAACTTTGTTCTTCTCTTTCTTTCCTTTGATCGAAGTTGTTGTTAGAAACGGAATCGGATCCTTTTCACTGTTGTTTTATTTTAATTCTTTTCTGCACTATGATTATTATTACTGTTGTTACAAGTTTGGAGTGGTGGGGTTTGTGGATGGATTTTGAACATGAGTTTTGTAGTGTTGGCCATTGTAATTAAAACAAGACGGTGTTGGTGAGATTGATGGAGGTTGTATGTTGTGTAGTTACAATATTAGTGGAATTGGTGAAGGTTTCAATGGTAGTGGTACATGATTTCACTCAAAGTAAAGTTGACTTTGGTGCTAGAATATGTGTGTGATTTCTTTACATGGTGATTTGTTGTTTTGCTGTAACAACAAAAGTATAGAAGGAGAATTATGAGGGTTGTATGTGTGTTAGTACGTGAGGAATTGTGTGTAAAATTGCTTTTTTTGTGTATAAAAATGTCTATGTCATATAGAGAATGAGCAAGCATTTGAGAGGGAGATTTGGAGCCACAATAAATTTGGTTTTTGAATATCAAATTGGTTTTCATGCCTACTGTTTTACTGTTTTATCAACATGCAGTTTTTTATTTTATTTTATATATTTTGGTGAAATGTTGTTGTTGTCTTGTCCATGAGGACCATGCATGAGTGGTCCAAACTAAAGCTTTTTTTTTTATATATTTTTTATTTTGACAACAAAACAAAAATAACAAAAAGACAAATACTAATGATAATAATAATAATATATAAAAAGAGTTAGTAAGATTTAAATGAAATTAATAACTAAAAACTAAAAATCAATATATTTTTACTCTTTTTTTGAATTAAAATAAATGAAAAATAAAAAAAATGCAATTAATTGAAAGAAAGATAATAAGATTTATATTCTAAAATGCAAATGAAAAAAACTTTCATATATTTTTTTGAGATTTTTGAATTAATAATGAAATATAAATTTAAATAAAACAATAATAATAATATTTTAAATAAAAAAGTAAAAATTATAAGTAAAATAGAATGACGTTAAATGTATTTTTATGATTTTTTTGAAATAAAAGTGAAAATGTTAAAATAAGATAAAGAATGTACAATATGTGCAATTTGATAAAAGTCGGCCAAAACACAATCGAAATTAAATTTCACTAAATTCACAAAATGACTTCTAACATTTTCATTCTTTCGTGACTTTTCAAGCATAATCAGCTCTTGACTTATAAAAAAATGTCGTAGATGACGTCAAGGAGAATCATACGCAAAAAGAACCGCTCAAAAATGTCAAAATTTGAAGAAGTTATGAATTTTTGAAATTTGACTCGAGAGTTGGCAAAAATAGATCAAACCACTTGTGAACATTTGCTATGCAAAGATGCAGATGAAATATGGGATCTTAGGACAAAAATTAGGGTATTACATGAAGAATAAACAAACGCACATGCTTGCATAATAAGAAGAAACTTACACAAATGTTAAAGAACTATTACATGAAGTCATTATAAGCATATGAATCAAGAACACACAATAGTTTTCAATCATACTTTTTTGGAAATAAACATTCATGGTTTTCATCATTTGAGAAAATATCAAGTATTTTTGGAAGTAAACTAATAACATGCATTAAGGAAAATCTTACTTTCAAGAAGAAATTGAAATGATATTACCTCACTCTTGATGAGATGGAAGTTGCACTCACATGATGTAAAATACTCAACTACAAAGTTATAGTGAAAACATAAAGTGCAAGCAACATTTGAGATATCTATCATCCCTAATCCCCCATGTATATTGACAAAAGGTTCAGTTGCGAGTGGTTTAGTGAAAATATTTGCAAGTTGATTTTTTCTATCAACATGCTCAAATACAACATTCCCCTTTTCAACATGGTCACGAAGGAAGTGGTGACGTATCTCAATATATTTAGTGTGTGAATGTGGTACATGATTATTGGTTAGATTAATGGCACTAGTATTGTCACACATGATAGAAATACATGAAAGTTTAATATTGAAATCAAGTAGTTATTGTTTAAGCCACATAATTTATGCACAATAACTATCGTCTGCCACATATTCCACCTTGGTTGTTGACAAAGCGACAAAAACTTGCTTTTGCTATGCCAACTTACCAAGGATTTTGAAAATATGTGACAAGTTCCACTAGTACTTTTCCTATCCAATTTGCAACCGGAAAAATCAGAATCAGAATAACCAACCAAGCTACAATCATTTCCCTTGGAATACCAAAGTCCAAACTTAGAGGTACCAATGAGGTATCTAAGGATGCGCTTAAGCAATTTTAAATGTGATTCCTTAAAAACAGATTGATATCGTGCACATATACAAATACTAAATATGATATCAGGTCTAAATGTGATAAGATAAAGAAGATATCCAATCATACCTCTATACCTTGTTACCTCAACATCCTTACCTTTTTCACCTCTATCCAAGTTACCGCTTGTTGCCACATGTGTGTCAATATCCTTTGCACCATCCATACCAGATTTTTGAGCAATTTGAGACAATACTTGGTTTGACATACAAATGTTCCTTAATCAAGTTGCTTAATTTATAGTCTAAAAAAGTAGTTTAACTTTCCCATTAGACTCATTTCAAACTCTCATTGCATAAGCTTAGAGAACTCCTTAACAAGATGCATATTAGTTTATCCAAAAATGATATCATCAATATAAATTTGAACTGGTAAAGTATTCTTTCCTTGACATTTAATAAAGAGGGTAGTATCTACATTTCCTCTATAGTATCCTTGCTCTAGCAAAAACTTGCTAAGTCGGTCATACCATGCTCTAGGGGCTTGTTTAAGATCATACAATGCATATTTTAGCTTGAATACATGATTAAGAAACTCATAATTTTCAAATTCGGTAGGTTGAGAAACATACACCTCTTCACTTACGTATTCATTAAGAAACACACTTTTTGTGTCTATTTGATATAATTTTAAGTTCTTAGAGCATGAATAAGCTAATAAAAGGAGATAGCCTCAAGTCGGGAAAATGAAACATAAGTCTCCTCATAATCAATGCCTTCATCTTGGTTATACCATTGAGCCACATACGGGCTTTATTTCTTGTTATAACACCATGTTCATCAAGCTTATTCCTAAATACCCATCGAGTGCCTTAGTTTGATGATTTTGTGGATGAGGAACAAGGTCCCAAATGTCATTTCATTTAAATTGATTCAATTCTTATTCCATGGCCTTAAGTCAATGCTCATCAAGCAAGGCATCCTTAGTGTTTTAGGTTCAACTTGTGATACATATGTATGATGATAACAAAAATTACTTATCTTAGAGCGAGCAGTTACCCCTTTGGTGATATCACCAATAATGTTATCAATTGGATGATCCTTGGAGGTTCTCCATTTCAATGGAAGACCATCATCTTCTTCATGGCTTTCATCATTTTTCTTTTCTCGGTTCTCATTTTCATCCTTCTCAATTTCCACTATTTTAGGTTGATCAACTCCTTCATCGGTGTCTTTGAGTATGTCTTCCGTAGATTCACCTACACCATGAAAAGAACTACCTTTCACAATACTATTTGGGGAAGTTTTATAAAAAGTAACATGGACCCACTCTTCAAAAAATAAGTATTTTTTGTTATAAACTCTATATACTTTACTAGATTGAGAGTATCCAAGAAAAATACCTTCGTCGGCTTTCACATCAAATTTTGCAAGATTATCTTTTCTATTATTTAAAGCAAAACACTTACATCCAAAGACATAACGATGAGATAAATTTGGTTTTCTACCTTTTAAAAGTTCATATGTAGTTTTGTCGAGAATTAGATAAATAAGTATCATATTTAAGACATAACACGTCGTGCCAATAGCATCGCCCCAAAAGTATTTTGGCAGACCATAATCATTGAGCATTGTTCTTGTCAACTCTGCTAAAACACGATTTTTATGCTCCATAACACCATTTTATTGTGGAGTTCCAAGAGCTTAAAAGTTATGTTCAATTGCAAATTTATCACAATATTCTTCAAAGAGGTGATTTTCAAATTCGCCTTCATGATTACTTCGAATGGCAACAATTTATGAATTTAATTTGTTTTGAGCTAACTTGACAAAACGTGTGAAAGACGAGAACATTTCATATTTGCTACGTAAGAAAATAGTCCAACAAAATCTTAAGTAATCATATACAATTACAAGACCATAGTAATTACCACCTATACTTTTAGTCCGTGAGGGACCAAATAAATCCATGTGAAGGAGCTCAAGTGGTCTCGATGTTGAAAAAACATTTTTAGATTTAAAATAGACCATCGTTTGCTTAACCTTTTGACATGCATCACATAGACAATCTTTTGATCATTTCATTTTTGGTAGATCAATTACTAAATATTTCACAACTATTTTGTTAAGTAAATCAAAGTTGATTTGAGCCAAACGTTTATGCCATAGCCAAGAGTATTCACTCAAGATAACAAGACATTGGACATTATTCAAGGAAATTTCTCTTAAGTCAGACATATAGATATTACTAACCCCCACACCCTTAAACATACAATCCTTATTTTCGTTATATTCCATTATGCAACAATCTTTAGCAAAAGTTACCTTATACCCATTGTCACATAATTGGACTAACACTGAGAAGACTATGTCTAAGACCTCTGGCTAACGTGAAATTTGAGACAGTAATAGTTTAGGGATTACACATACTACCTTTTTCGAGTATTGCACCTTTGTTGTGATCACCGTAGGATACAAAGCGTTTCTTCTTCGCTATAAAGTCGGAGAAGAGAGATATGTCTTGCGTCATGTGTATTGAACATCCACTATCGAGAATCTATTTTCCCGCCATATCATCAAGACACTCATCCTATAAAAATAAAACAAAATTGGTAGGTACCCAATTATCATTGGGTCTTTGAGAGTGAGTTAAATAATTGTTGTATTTTGGTAACCATTGGAAATTGCCTTTAGAAACCAAAAAGCACCTAAATTTTCATTTTTCAATAGTATGGCCTTTTGTAACAATAGTGACAAAATAACCTATGATGAGAGTCACCTATGCTATTAAACTTCTTCTTAATCAAGTTATAGTTTTTACGAGGCTTTTTCACCTTTGAACATCTAATAACAATAGTATCAATGAGATGATGGTGTATTTTGTCCAATTTGGTTTCAAGATTATTCACTTATTA